ACTGTGTCCTATGCTTTGACCTTTGACCTGAACTTTTGAAAAAAGTTAATCTGGGGCATATCTTCTCTACTATTTCACCTGGAGTAACCAGATTTTATGTTCAAGACCATTTTGGGATGGAGGAGTGCAGAGTGCAAGATTTAGGTCACTGTGACTTATGACTTGACCTTTGACCTTTACTTTTGAAAATATTTGTACGGGGCATATCTTCTATGCTATTTCACCTGGAGTAACTAGATTTGGCCAAACAAAGACATCTTAGGATGGTGTAGTGAAGTAGGTCACTATGACCTCACTGTGACCTATATATATGCTTCCTGACATACGTGTACTGTTTGTGTATAGAAATTCTTACCGGTGGCCATGGGGGTCTATGGATTGCCTTGCAACAATTTGCCTTGTTAATACATATTTTCTATGCACAGTAGTTCATATTTCTTTCATTTTGTCTTCAGAAAATTTTGCCTTAAATGGATCAGGCGATATATTGACAAGGGTGTTAAAATAATAGTAAATTAGTAACAACAAAAAGGCCTACATGGAATATCTGACAGATTTTCTTAATTAAAATACAATTTTTTTAAACTACCATTCATTTCATTTTCATGGAAGAATATTCAGCGCACTATGTCCTAAGGAGGAATTCTGTTTGTTTTGTTACGTTAAAGTTCTAGGGTGGGGGCGCCGCAGGCGCCCGAAATCTACACTATCATCACAAAGGTTACTTAGCTATGTGCGCTCGCTTATAGGCAGTGCCTATTTCATATTAGTTGTGTAGAGACCCATCATAGAGCAAGCCTCCGAAAATCCCCCCACGATGTTCCAGACGAGAATCACGAACCCCCCATTCCTTATTTGTACCGAAATGAGCGCCATTTGTACACAAGGCTAATAAGTCATAATCATTTTAAAGCTTGCCTGTATCTCAATCCTTACCTTTATTCAAACGTTTTCGTGACTTGGGTGACTAACGAGTAAAAACGACATGCGGACCAATTTTCCGGATTTTTTTTAAGACGGCGGCTGGCGCATTCACAATTTTTTTTTTTATTACTTTCACGATAAAATCGGCAATGCGGTGCCCTAAAATGAAATGCGCGCGGGCCTGAGAACCAAGTAATCTTTTTTTTTTGGCCTTACTCCTTTTTATTATATTATCATGAACAAATTCACAAAAGTACTTAAATACTACTTAGAATTAATCAAGACTTTCCAGTTAACTTACAAAAATAAAATAAATTTTCCTATCAAGAGCTGAAAATTGCTGAATCACTAAAACTTTCGAATATTATTAAGAAATAAATTTTGTATATAATCTCAAGAGTGACAGACATATAACAGGAACTAACCTAAAGTTAAGCACAATTATGTAATATATATGGATACTCTGAAACCTGTCTAATAATCATCTCAACATGACCAATCTTTTTCTTAGGAATGAATACTAATAATAATTTAAGGTTCTTATACCGCTTTATCGCAACCTAGTCGTAGGTCATCTCAAAGCGGTTCACAAATTATTATCCTTGGTTATAGGGCCTTAGCAACCAGCCAATATCTGTCTCAACTCCCTGGGGAACATATATACAGCCTGTGCTGCCATTTCGGCACTCACAGCTAGTATTCAATATTTCTAGCTCTGCCCAACCACATACTCATTTACAAGCGGAGTAAAGTATCTTGTCTAAAGATACAACACAGTGCCGTGCTGTGACTCGAACCTGCAACCCTTCGGTCACGAGTCTGGCATCCTACCACTAGACTAACGTGCCTCCAACAGACTTGCTACACAGGTTCAATATCTATATAAATGTAAAATACTGTGGGACCAAGATAAACGTCTGGTTAACACATGTACAGGTTGTAGATTATACAGAGTTTGACTCATACCGGTTACACTATAAAGGAACTTCATCTCCACAGGTCAAATCAGCCGTGAACAACAGATTGCCTTATATACATACCTCTCCCTTGGCAAACGGGGGAGGCTCAACCGGAGGGTAAAATTTGGGTAAATCAAAAGCAACTTTTTCCATGAACCACTTGAACGGTTTACAGTTGAGCTTGGTGCGAATGGCCTTCTGTGCGGATATGTCGCCGGTGTCAATGTTTCTGTAGTGGGGGCGGTGGTTGTAGAGGTACTCCGCGTATTCATCCATCCACACCTCAGCAACACGCCGATAGTTCTAAAACAACAGGATACATACATTTTACTCTACATGTCTGTGATGATGCTATATTATTTACTATTTATTATCTAGATAAGACATGGTTAGCTATGACTGTGATATTCTGTTCATGTATACTTATCTTACACAAACCACAATTGTCCACTCTCATACCAATCACCACACTGACACTTACAAACCCCATATGTCCAGGGCTGACCATGACTTACCCTGCCCATCACCACACTGCCACTTACAAATCCGAAATGTCCAGGGCTGATCACGACTTACCCTGCCTATCACCACACTGACAATCACAAATCTGAAATGTCCAGGACTGACCACGACTTACCCTGCCAATCACCACACTGACACTCACAAGTTTACCCAAAATGTCCAGGGCTGATCATGACTTACCCTGCCCTGCCCATCACCACACTAACACTCACAAACCCCAAATGTCCAGGACTGACCACGACTTACCCTGCCCACAAAATCGCCCACACCAGGGTTAGGGAACGGTGCAAACTTCCTGTAGATGTGACCAATTCTCGAGCACGGAGCGTCCACCATTTTACCACCACACTGCCAAAGCTGGGAATAAAGAAATCACTATGATTGCATAGAAGAACTTGTTAGGACACAATTTCTCCAAATCATTAACAGTATTTCAAGAAAAATTTAAATAGAGCCATCAAATAAACTTATCTATAGATGTTGAATCGTACAACAAATGTGAGTAGTCAAGTGATAACAAATGCTACTCATTACATACACTAGGTGGCATGACTTACCTTATTACCCGATGATCAGATCCTACTTAGCCTGTACTTTAATGTACAAGTAGTTGCATTTATATTGTATGTTTAGTGGATTTTGATCGAATTGCAGACATAAAGCAATGTAAATTTTAATCAATTTTATTGCAGAAATTATGTTTTGTTTTCTCCCTTATATTTTAGGTTTACAGAAAGTCATTTCATTTACTGTGAAGAAAGCTTCAGTAATTAATTGAGGATAAAAGAGATGATTTTGTAGGATAGATTAATCACTGTTTTTCATATCTGAAGACATTTTTCCCTTGTGCTACCTTTTTATACTCTAAACTTGACCTTGTAAGGCAGTTCATACTCCTTATTTCACAGGCACCATACACTTGCTTTAAAAGCAGTGCATACTGTTTGGCATTACTTGTAATGACAGCTCATACATGTGAGCTACTGTATACCTTGAAGGATAGTTCATACATGTGAGAAATACCTTGAATGAGAGTTCACACAGGTGAGCCATACCTTGAAGGAGAGTTCATACAGGTGAGCCATACCTTGAAGGAGAGTTCATACTGGTAAGCTATACATTGAAGGATAGTTCATACAGGTGAGAAATACCTTGAAGGAGAGTTCACACAGGTGAGCCATACCTTGAAGGAGAGTTCTTACAAGCGAACCATACCTTGAAGGAGAGTTCATATAGGTGAGCCATACCTTGAAGGAGAGTTCATACTGTTCGCCTCCCCAGATGTCCAGACCCGGGTCATAACCACCCAGTTCCCAAAACCACTTGGTGCTGATGGCAAACAGTCCTCCAGCCATTACTGGGCTACTACAAAGTGAAAAACACAGGCATGTGTAAAACGGTCTTGTAGAGATGGCTTCAATCAAATATATGTACATTAATTTCCCAATGGTCTGAGTAACAACTCTTTGGAATCAGATGTTCCTTGCACTTTAACTATAAAAATGGTAATTTTTGAAACTTCGTAATTTTTCCCTGAATTTTTACACTATTGAATATATATAAGACCATAATTTACTCCCATACTTCACAGGTGTATTTCCAGTTTTTGTTCAGGTAGAGATAAACTTGTCTTTACCTACCAAGGGAATAGAAATGCAGTTCACAAAGGCTATTACTCTGAAAACAACACCATCTGACTTACTTGAAGGGCTCGGCTGGGTGCTTGAGATCCTCAGGTAGAAGAGGAAGACGTTTGTAGAAAAATTCCCAGTCAAAGGCTCCTCTAGCACCCTCATCCTGAGCACGGTACGCAAATGTTTCAAAGTCAATGACGTCAATAAAAGGGCAGACAACTGTTTTATAGTCTTCAGCTATGGGCTCTGTAAAACAACAGATTATTTCAAGTTAGTTCATCATTTTCACTTTATGACAATTTCTTTCCACTTTCACAGCTACATATAGAACTATAACACTTAATGGTCTACTTCGTAATTCTGTGTAAAGATCTGGTTATAGCCTCTACATGGAAGTCGGGGATAATAAGGACCTGCCCTGTGGCTGGTTATAGCCTCTACATGGGAGTCGGGGATAATAAGGACCTGCCCTGTGGCTGGTTATAGCCTCTACATGGGAGTCGGGGATAATAAGGACCTGCCCTGTGGCTGGTTATAGCCTCTACATGGGAGTCGGGGATAATAAGGACCTGCCCTGTGGCTGGTTATAGCCTCTACATGGGAGTCGGGGATAATAAGGACCTGCCCTGTGGCTGGTTATAGCCTCTACATGGGAGTCGGGGATAATAAGGACCTGCCCTGTGGCTGGTTATAGCCTCTACATGGGAGTCGGGGATAATAAGGACCTGCCCTGTGGCTGGTTATAGCCTCTACATGGGAGTCGGGGATAATAAGGACCTGCCCTGTGGCTGGTTATAGCCTCTACATGGGAGTCGGGGATAATAAGGACCTGCCCTGTGGCTGGTTATAGCCTCTACATGGGAGTCGGGGATAATAAGGACCTGCCCTGTGGCTGGTTATAGCCTCTACATGGGAGTCGGGGATAATAAGGACCTGCCCTGTGGCTGGTTATAGCCTCTACATGGGAGTCGGGGATAATAAGGACCTGCCCTGTGGCTGGTTATAGCCTCTACATGGGAGTCGGGGATAATAAGGACCTGCCCTGTGGCTGGTTATAGCCTCTACATGGGAGTCGGGGATAATAAGGACCTGCCCTGTGGCTGGTTATAGCCTCTACATGGGAGTCGGGGATAATAAGGACCTGCCCTGTGGCTGGTTATAGCCTCTACATGGGAGTCGGGGATAATAAGGACCTGCCCTGTGGCTGGTTATAGCCTCTACATGGGAGTCGGGGATAATAAGGACCTGCCCTGTGGCTGGTTATAGCCTCTACATGGGAGTCGGGGATAATAAGGACCTGCCCTGTGGCTGGTTATAGCCTCTACATGGGAGTCGGGGATAATAAGGACCTGCCCTGTGGCTGGTTATAGCCTCTACATGGGAGTCGGGGATAATAAGGACCTGCCCTGTGGCTGGTTATAGCCTCTACATGGGAGTCGGGGATAATAAGGACCTGCCCTGTGGCTGGTTATAGCCTCTACATGGGAGTCGGGGATAATAAGGACCTGCCCTGTGGCTGGTTATAGCCTCTACATGGGAGTCGGGGATAATAAGGACCTGCCCTGTGGCTGGTTATAGCCTCTACATGGGAGTCGGGGATAATAAGGACCTGCCCTGTGGCTGGTTATAGCCTCTACATGGGAGTCGGGGATAATAAGGACCTGCCCTGTGGCTGGTTATAGCCTCTACATGGGAGTCGGGGATAATAAGGACCTGCCCTGTGGCTGGTTATAGCCTCTACATGGGAGTCGGGGATAATAAGGACCTGCCCTGTGGCTGGTTATAGCCTCTACATGGGAGTCGGGGATAATAAGGACCTGCCCTGTGGCTGGTTATAGCCTCTACATGGGAGTCGGGGATAATAAGGACCTGCCCTGTGGCTGGTTATAGCCTCTACATGGGAGTCGGGGATAATAAGGACCTGCCCTGTGGCTGGTTATAGCCTCTACATGGGAGTCGGGGATAATAAGGACCTGCCCTGTGGCTGGTTATAGCCTCTACATGGGAGTCGGGGATAATAAGGACCTGCCCTGTGGCTGGTTATAGCCTCTACATGGGAGTCGGGGATAATAAGGACCTGCCCTGTGGCTGGTTATAGCCTCTACATGGGAGTCGGGGATAATAAGGACCTGCCCTGTGGCTGGTTATAGCCTCTACATGGGAGTCGGGGATAATAAGGACCTGCCCTGTGGCTGGTTATAGCCTCTACATGGGAGTCGGGGATAATAAGGACCTGCCCTGTGGCTGGTTATAGCCTCTACATGGGAGTCGGGGATAATAAGGACCTGCCCTGTGGCTGGTTATAGCCTCTACATGGGAGTTGGGGAAGATAAGGACCTGCCCTGTGGCTGGTTATAGCCTTTACATGGGAGTCGGGGAAGTTAAGGACCTGCCCTGTGGCTGGTTATAGCCTCTACATGGAAGTCGGGGATAATAAGTACCTGCCCTGTGGCTGGTTATAGCCTCTACATGGGAGTCGGGGATAATAAGGACCTGCCCTCTGGCTGGGTATAGCCTCTACATGGGAGTCGGGGGTAATAAGGACCTGCCCTGTGGCTGGGTATAGCCTCTACCTGGGAGTCGGGGGTAATAAGGACCTGCCCTGTGGCTGGTTATAGCCTTTACATGGGAGTCGGGGAAGTTAAGGACCTTACATGGGAGTCGGGGATAATAAGGACCTGCCCTCTGGCTGGGTATAGCCTCTACATGGGAGTCGAGGATGATAAGGACCTGCCCTGTGGCTGTTATAGCCTCTAAATGGAAGGCGGGGGAAATAAGTACCTGCCCTGTGGCTGGTTATAGCCGCTACATGGGAGTCGGGGATAATAAGGACCTGCCCTCTGGCTGGGTATAGCCTCTACATGGGAGTCGGGGAAGTTAAGGACCTGCCCTCTGGCTGGGTATAGCCTCTACATGGGAGTCGGGGAAGTTAAGGACCTGCCCTGTGGCTGGTTATAGCCTATACATGGGAGTCGGGGAAAATAAGGACCTGCCCTGTGGCTGGTTAAAGCCTCTAACTGGGAGTCGGGGATAATAAGGACCTGCCCTGTGGCTGGGTATAGCCTCTACATGGAAGTCGGGGATAATAAGGACCTGCCCTGTGGCTGTTATAGCCTCTAAATGGAAGTCGGGGGAAATAAGTACCTGCCCTGTGGCTGGTTATAGCCTCTACATGGGAGTCGGGGAAGTTAAGGACCTGCCCTCTGGCTGGTTATAGCCTCTACATGGGAGTCGAGGATGATAAGGACCTGCCCTGTGGCTGGGGTACAGACGTACCTAGAAGTGGTGGCAGCCAGTTGATATTAGCCTCTACATGGGAGTCGAGGAAGATAAGGACCTGCCCTGTGGCTGCCTTGGCTCCCATGATGCGTGTCCGGATGAGTCCTTCTCTCTGCTTAGCCCGCACCACACGAACATTGTCAAAATGTTCCTTCAAATAGTCATCCAATGGTTTCTTACAGTGCTCTAGAAAAAAGAAAGGAAAGGCATTATATATATTGTCAGAATATATATATTTGATGTATTATTATTAAAATTAAAATCATTTCTTTAAATGGTCGTCTCCTTATTAACAATCCTTTTAAAAAATTGTAATAACCAGGTTCCTTTATAATATATCAAAGTTTAACTTTTTACACAAACGATGTACGTATTAAACGTGTCGCAACGTGTCAGCGATTTGTATTTTTTACCTGTACAGCAATTTCATCACATCATTGTACAGGTAAATAAGAGGCCCAATAGGCCTGCATCGCTCACCTGGTATTATTCTCACACTTGTAATCTTAAAAGTGGACTAAAATTACAGCTACAGGCAAAATATCAGTGTTTGATTCATAAGAACCTATCAAAAGATTTAAACATATGATGCCTGTGACCTTGAATGTCGAACAGTGACATTAGGTTGAAAGTGGGTCAAGGTCATTCATTTGAACAAACTTGGTAGTCCTTCATCCAAGCATGCTACAGGCCCAATTTTAGTACCCTGGACCTTTTGGTTATTGAGAAGAAGTTGTTTGAAGATTTTACGACATTTGACCCCTTTGACCTTGAAACTTGGTCAAGGTCAAACATTTGAACAAACTTGGTAGCCCTTCACCCCAGCATGCTTCAGGCCCTTTGGGCCAGGTGACCTAAAAATACAAATCGCTCACTCAGTCCTAGCTTGACAGAGGGACCAGTCCGTCTTGAAACACTGCAACACTTTTAATACGTATATCGTTTGTGTAAAAAGTAAAACTCTGATATCACATATTTCCACACTGATTAATCTAATTGAAGGTTCCTTTATATATTTGAGTAAAACATTGTACTTTACCTTTGTTACTGAAGTCATCGGCTAGGATGATCTCGTGAACCATACCCTTGGGTGCCCTGTTAAGTACACTGTAACACAGTCTGAGCAGTGTGGTCCAGTGTTCGTTGTGGAACGGAACAATCACACTGGCGTTGGGCAGGTGGTTCAGGTATTTCTTGCTTTTACAGCTGTGAGGCAAAAACAGAAATGTGTTTTGTGAATTTGTGTTCATTGTCAGATTTTTTTTCTCTGCAGGGGCCCATTAATATGCCAAATTACTTAAATCCCCAATTGAAAAAAAAATTAAAGGGGAGGGGGGTCAGGTCTTGGACACTGAGCTGTGCTGAAAACAAGTAAAAGTATAAGAAACTTGTAAATTACTTATTTTCTATTCTAATTCCTAAATTAAGGCCAGGGACTTTTAACCAATATGGCAAAATATCTAGAAAATGCCAACTTATGTAGTTGCAGTTCTTATAATCTGAAAAGAATCAAATCTTTTTATGTAAAAGTTGAGAAGTCTCTGAAAAAAAAATTCCCATTACGAATATAGGAAACTACCAGTTTACGAGTTGCAATGTACCATTCTGAAACTCCTAGAAATTCATTGTTAATTTGGTACCGAAAATGAATATTACTGATGTCCAGCTTAATTGTGAATCTTTTTCATCTTAAAAAATTTGACAGCCATTTACCAAAAATTAAACAATAGATAATATTTTTAAGTCTTTTTTTAAATTTAGCAGCAAGTGACTAAGCTGATTTACTGCAGCCATCACTTACTCTGCATGACGAATGTCCTTGAGTGACCTCTGCAGGGAAATCTTATCACTGGCAAAGGCATTGAACCCATTGACCTTGTAAAGGTCGTTCTTTTGTTTTTCCTCCTCCGGCGACAGAATCACTGCTTGTCCCTGTTCACCTGGACCTGAGCCAACAAGAAATGATAAAACATAAATATTGTAATGCACTGAACACTGACCATATACAATAACAAGAGGCCCAAGGGCCTTAACGGTCACCCGAGTTATATCCTAGGTACTGGTAGCTTTATTTTATTGTTTAGATGTGATGTGGAAATCAGCATGTAAACTAAGTGAAATACAATACTTGTCATGTCATCAAAGGATAAGAATTTGAAAATATTGGTAAATGTTCCCTTTGGGGCCCTGCCCTAGCCCCTGGGGATGGGGCAGGAATCCCAATTTTACAAAGTAATACTCTCATTCACCAAAGATGATTCTGACTAAGTTTGAGTAATTTTCTG